TTGTGTGGCTAATGTCAGGCAGTCTGGCTTATTATAAGATCTCCTGCCTCAGCCATAACGGCGCCTAGCATGCCAGCCGCTTCCTCCGCAGGTTGGGCAGCCTGGCTCGATATGAGCGCGCCTGCCACGGCTGAAACAGCGCCCAGCACACCAGCCACTCAATCCGCGTTTCAGGCCATCTGTTCTTCGGGAGCACGCCCACCGCGGCTGTAACGGCACTTAATGTTCAGCCGCTCCATTCGCAGTTTGGGCAGTCCATCTCATCATGAGCGCTCATGCCGCAGCTGTAATGACGCCTAGTGTTCCAGCCGCCATTCGTAGATCGTGCAACCTGGCTGTTCATGAGCGCATTTGCTGCAGCTGCAAAGGCGCCTAATGCACCCGCCACTCCATCGTCAGGTCAGGCAGCCTGGCTCATCATAAGTGCTCCTGCAGCGGCTGCAAAGGCGCCTAACGCACTAGCCGCTTCATCCGCAGTTTGGGCAGCCTAGCTCGCCATGAGCATTCCTGCCGTGGCCATAATAGCGCTTAATGCGCTAGCCGCTATCCGAGATTCGGGCAACTAGGCTCTTAATGAGAGCTCCCACTGTGGCTATGAAGGCGCCTGACATGCCGGCCACTTCATTGTAATACGGGCCGCCCGGCTCATAGGAGCTCTCCTGTCATGGCTCGGAAGGCGCGAAGCATGTCTGCCGCCTCATTGCAATTTGTGCAGCCTGACTCCTAATGAGCACTCCTGCCATGGCTGTAATGGTGCCTAACGCACCAGCTGCTTACTGCAGGTAGGGCAGCCTGGCTCATCATGAGCACGCCTGCCAAGGCCCATGTGGCCCCTGAAGCACTGGCCTCAATCAGTGTGCCTAGACGAATCTAGGCAGGGACTGAATCCCTCACTGCAGGTTAAACTAATGCCAGGGGCTGCCTGTTAGCAGGCAATGCCCACTCCGCTAAGCCGGGAACGGCAGGGATCTCGGCTGAAATTCAAGCCGGTAGAAAGAGGTACCAGCAGACTGGTGACCCCCCAGAACGCTCACCAGCGATCACCAAGCCTTGCTCCGAATAATAATCCAAATTGCTGTCATTTTACATTGAGAAGAAATCGAAGAATGGGTGAGTCTCTATTCTCAGTCTCAACTTGTGGAAGACCGAGTCGAACTGGGGAGCTCCCAGGCAGGAGTAGGCGTGGCCAAGAAAGTTTGACTTGGTCTCCAAGCAGAGAAGCAGAGCACTATCCATTCCTGGATTATCTTCCCCGATACGCTGGAGAACGGGATGAGCTCCTGTTACTTGTCCCAGCTTCTGCCAACCTAGCAGTTTGAAAGCATGTAAAAAATGCAAGTAGAAAAATAGGGACCACCTTTGGTGGGAAGGTAACAGCGTTCCGTGCACCTTTGGCATTTAGCCATGCCGGCCACATGACCACAGAGACGTCTTTAAAACGGAGATGAGCACCGCCCCCTAGTGTCGGACATAATGTCAAGGGGAACCTTTACCTTTACCTTTTTTCCACACAATATGAAAATATGCTTAAAGTGATAACCCACCTCCAGCAACTTCCTATACTGATGCTGCCCAAATAGATCGTCTCCTTCCTTTAGCTGCAAAACTAGTAGGAACTTCGCCCTTCGGGTGACCCTGTTGGGATAATATATTCTTGACATACATTCTTCCCAGGAACATCCCTTCCCCACCACAATGAGGCAGCACAGCAGGATGTGGGAAGAAGCTAATGGACTGGTAGATAAATTATTAATTGGCTGGAACTGCTCTATTTCTTGTTTCAAAAGAAGCTCCCCACCCCCTTCTTAATTTCATTCCAACTTCCAATTGTTGCAGCCCTTTCTATCTGACCATTTTGAAATGGGGCTTTCTTTGGTTTTATATTGAAAACTGGAATAAGTTTATTGACTTGGCAGAGAGTAAGGCATTTCCTCTTGGGTTTCAAATCTAAAACCATTAGCTGCAAATTGATGCTATTAATTAAAAGGAACAAAGGGTGCACTGTTATAGTAATGGAGTCAAAAGATTAAAAATAAAAAGAGTTCCAGTGCACTCAGATTAAATAATTCAGTCTTTTATCATATTCAGGTTGCATCAGGTAAAAACTAAATTTGGCTATGCTCATTTTCAACAATTATAAAAAGAAGAGAAATGCATATATGCATTGATTCTTCTGTGGGGAAGGAACACCCCCTCTGTTTTCCCTATGTTGTAGTTAAGTCATTTGAAGCAATATCAATGAAGATGGTAAAGAAATCAAAGTAGTCTCAAGATGCTGCACTCTTTTTCAAAAAGCCACTGATCTCTCTCAAATGACAAGTCATTTGTCTGGATTCCTTTAAGGAACTCTTCCTACAGTGCAGCCTCAGAGGTGCAGCAAAACCTTTCTCCTCTTGGTCGCCATGCACTGCAGTGTTTAATCTGAAGGTTTAATGAACTACTTAGATCCATTCACTGAGGGAGGGATTTTATGAAATGGACCAGTAGGCAGGCCTTCTGTGCAAAGAGCTGCTGTGTACAGAATGCTGTTAGCAGCAGGAATATAGGACTGATTACGCAGCTCTATGCGCTGTGTTCCCCTCCGAGACCTGAAATCAGAGCAAGCCAGGCAAGGAAAACAGACACAGACACATATTTTGCAAGCAGCACAAAATACTGAGATTTCTCATCACAAACTTGGATTGCTCATTCTTAAAAATAATGCACCAAAACGTTCTTAACAGCCATATTCAAAATATAAGGAGCAGTAAACAGGATTTTAAAACAATAAAGTAACCTTCTTGCAGATCTGATTTTTCATCCAGGAGTGTTTGCACTATTATTAACAACTATATACACGGTAAAACTTTTATGTTTAACAATTGGCTACTTTCCTTTTATGATAAGAAGTCGATGTTCAATGAGGTTAAAATGAAAAAAATATATATTAATCAATACTAATTAGTACTACAGCAGAGAAATCAGAGGAATCTATAAGAAAATGCTTCAGATGGGAGCCATTTTCCTGAATGAAAGGATTCCCTCTCCTCAGAGTTACTGCAGGGTCAGCCTTTGGGGCAATACCATTCGGGAATAATAAAGTTAAAGTATTCCCAACATAATCTAAAATTTACTCACATACATAAATACAGTTGCTGCTAAGTTTTAAAGCAAAGGGGGAGCCATAACTAACTCACACAGAAGAGGAGAGCTGCAATTTATCAAACTATAATCTATCTGGGTCTCTCAATTTGTCAAAGCTCTTACATCCTCCAATTACAATATGTTTTGATACTCAAAAGATAATATTAAATAGATCACTGTATATCACTGTAAAGTCACAGTATGTTGGGGGAGAAGGGAATTGCTGATCTCCCCAGCATTTGTTCAAATGTCATGTTTCTGAAACTTTAAAACAATTACTTAAGATAGTAATAACTAAAAATAGTCTCAATCTAATTAAGCTATTTGTCTTCTACTAAATAGTTCTACTATTTCTTTATTAAAATAAAATAAAAACTGCATTGTCAAACTTTAACCTCAATCTTTGCATTATACATAAACTATTATTATGACAGAATTATTATGACAGAATAATGACTTTATTATGACATAAAATTATTTTAATAACTATTGAAGATTTTTTTAGGAAAAGCCCTAAATTCAATTAAGGCAGATATTAAAAATCACTTACTTCGGAATCTGAACTCCACAATATGTATCTAGATATTGAACAGAAGATTTTCTCCATGATTTTGGAATGGTGGGACCAGCTTGGTTTGACATGCTGACTCAATAAAAGAATAAATGTCTATATTTCTTTGCAACCATGCTATCTTAATATTCTGGGTATATTTATAGTTTTAGATTGTAGTACATAGATATTAATATATTTTTAGGTTACTCCAATTAAGTAACATGCAGCTTTAGGGAACTAGAAAGGCAAAGAAAGTTGTCAAGTGATCATATGACATTTTGTGGGTGATGGACTCTGAATCATGTATGCTGCATAGCATCTATACTTTTACTTACACACACACACACAATTTTCCAGCCTTTATAGTTTTAAATACTGAAATAATAGCACCATCCTTACAACAAAAATAAAATAAAAAGAGCCCTGGTGGCGCAGCAGACTAAAGCACTGTTATTAACATCAACTGCCTGCAATTACTGCAAGTTCAACTCCCCCCCACCCCCAGGCTCAAGGTTGACTCAGCTTTCCTTCCTTTCTAAGGTAGGTAAAATGAGGACCCAGATTGTGGGGGCAATAAGCTGACTTTGTATAAATATACAAAAGTATGAAGGCTATTGCTTAACGCATTGTAAGCCGCCCTGAGTCTCCAGAGAAGGGCGGCATATAAATCAAATAAAAAAAAAAAATAGGCTTTGCTTCTGGTCAGCAAACGAAACTAATTTATTCAACCGTAATTTTGATGCAGAAATAAATATAACAAGCATCTGATGCCATGTACTGTACATGCCTATCTCATTACAAAATTCACTTGTAAGGTAAAAAAAAACACAGAATGAAAAGGTGCTTTAATGAGTCTTAATAGTCTTGCGTCTTGACATACAAGGTCCATGTGATATCACCCATTACTTGCAATTCTCTGAGTGACCACTGGTGGGGAGTGGGGTGAGTTGGGGAACTCTGAAGTTTAGCACTGCTTCCAGTTCTAATGACATGGAAATTAACTAAAAAATACCTTTCACTTTTATTTGGAACAAAAGGACACAGAATAAAATATAGAGTTCTTACTATGAATCAGGGAGACTTAGCAAGCCTATATTTACTTCATTTTCATCCAATTACCAAAAACCAGTGGTGCCTTTTCAGATCTCAATCCTGCTACTTCTTGTCAGTAGGGATGGTTTCAATCTGTCTTTGAACACAGATTAATGCCTTGGTAAAACTTGTCTAAACACAGCACAATTAACTCATCTTGCACACATGGATGAAGAACATAAGTCTAAAGAAACAAATTCATATGCCTGAGCCTAGGATGAAAATAGCCTACCTTGGCTCTTTGTGGCAAGTTCATCATGGTATCTGTCTTGAAGTCATTTTTGTTTTTCCTGCATAGCACAGCTGTGATGATAAGGATGATGACTGTAACAACTGCTATGGGAGCCAACACTGCTGCAATGATCCATAAATTGTTGGGTGGGTTTTTAACTACAGCTGCATACATTAAGAGAAAAGGAAAGAAATAAACTTATAAAGTTTACTTGTAATGTATCAGAGCAATGATCCATTTTTCTCTAGCCTTCTCCAATCTAAAATCTTTCCACATGAACTGGGACTGCAATTCTTGGTGCTAGTCTCACAATGCATCAGGGGAATGTCAGTTTAGAAAAGGCTAGTCTATTTGTTCAGTCAAAAAAATTTTTTCTAGTTCTCCTATGTCAACTGAAAACCTCTGACAGGAGGTTTTCCCTAAGCATACCAACTATGCTCTATCACAAAGAAATAGATTGCCTCTCACACACAATTATATTCAACAGCATCAGTTTTACTTAGACGTTTATACCAAAAAAAAAAGCATAGGACTACCACATTATAAAATAAATATAGAATATATTACAAGAATGTATGCATATGAGTCTTCGATTGTTAGAGGCTACCAATCTAATTTTTAAATTAAAATTTCTCTGCTGTTGTAAATTCATTAAATCATTAATGTAATAATTTATTAAATTAATGATCTATTCATTAATTTTTAATGATTAAATCATTAATCATTAGTAATTTTAATGGTAATTTATCATTATTCATTAAATAAAATCATTTATAGCATAGTATTAATTCTGCCCAGAGTAACAGTCACTGCTGCTTCGACATGAAGATATTTGACAAATAAGCAACCAGTCTGAAACTGGTCTTAGCACCTAAAAATGGGGAATATTGTACACTGATATTCAAAACATACCTTTGGGCTTCTTTTTGAACTAAAGTGGTCAAGTGGGCTGCGCCGAACCGGCCACGCCGGCGCCAAACAGGCCGCAGTGAACGGGCAGCGGCGGTGGCAAATGGGCTGCGGCAAATGGGCCATGGTGAACGGGATGCAACGAACCAGTCGCAGCGAACGGGCCAGGGCTAACAAGCCAGATGAATACCGGATGGATGCTGGAGGGAGGCAGAGGCAGATTTTTTTCCTTGTTTTCCTCCCCAAAAGCTAGGTGTGTCTTATAGTCCAGAGCATCTTACAGTCCGAAAAATACGGTACTTAGACTTCAGCAAGGCATTTGACAAACTAGACCACAATCTACTTCATGGGAAGCTAGAAAAAAGTGGGATAGATAGCATCACCACCAGATGGATTCGTAACTGGCAGACAAACTGTACTCAACGAGGAGTCCTCAATGGGTCTATGTCTACATGGAGGGACGTAACCAGTGGGGTACCACAAGGTTCCATCTTAGGCCCAGTACTTTTCAATATCTTCATAAACAATTTAGATGAGGGAATAGAAGGGGAACTTACCAAATTTGCAGATGATACTAAGCTGTCAGGAATAGCTAACGAACTAGAAGATAGGCTCAAGATCCAGATGGCTTGAACACTAGGCCCTATCTAACAAAATGAAATTCAATGTAGAGAAAAGTAAAGTCTTACACTTAGGCAAGAAAAACCAAAAGTACACATATAGACTGGGTGAAACCAGGCTTAACAGCATTAGCTGTGAGAGAGATCTTGGAGTCTTAGTGGACAACCAGCTAAATATAAACCAGCAGTGTGCAGCGGCAACCAAAAAAGGCAATGCAATCCTAAACTGCATTAACAGATGGTTGCAATCAAGATCAAATGAGGTACTAATACCACTCTATAAAGACTTAGCAAGACCACACTTGGAGTACTGCATCCAGTTTTGGTCACCATACTATGGAAAAGATGTTGAGACTCTAGAAAAAGTGCAGAGAAGAGCAACCAGGATGATTAGGGGACTGGAAACTAAAACATATGAAGAATGGTTACAGGAACTGGGCACAGCTAGTCTAGTAAAGAGAAGGACCAGGGGAGACATGATAGCAGTGTTTTAATATTTGAGGGGCTGCCACAGAGAGAAAGAGGTCAAGCTATTTTCAAAGGCACCTGAAGGTCAGACAATGAATAATGGATGGAAACTGATCAAGGAAAGATTCAACCTAGAAATAAGAAGAAATTTTCTGACAGTGAGAACAATCAACCAATGGAACAGCTTGCCTTCAGAAGTTGTGGGAGCTTCATCACTGGAGGCTTTCAAGAAGAGATTGGACTGCCATTTGTCAGAAATGGTGTAGGGTCTCCTGCTTGGGTGGGGGGTTGGACTAGATGACCTACAAGGTCCCTTCCAACTCTTTTAATCTGTTAATCACTATCTGAGATTAAGGCACACAGGACTAAAGGATTTCTTTACTCAGTGATCTGTGAAACAAGGATGCATATTTTTTCCTTTTATTCAGCTTCCCTGTGTACTCTGAAATCAATAGTTGTAAACTAAAAAAAATTACTAAACTATTATATGCAGATGTTTTCACACTATTTCTATTTCCCAATTGATTTGAAATGAGTTTTAACTGCACTTAAGACATATTAGTTTTCTATTTTTTTATTACCTTACTGTTTCAACTATTATGAAAACCAGCTCCAAACCTCTGAAAATATAATAGGCCTAATTACATAAAAATACATATACATAAAAAGCTGTGGTGGGATTCAGCCAGTTTGCACCACTTTGGGAGAACCGGTTGTTAACTTTCTGAGCAGTTTGGCAAACTGGTTTTTGGAAGAAATCATTAGGACAGAGAACCGGTTGTTAAATTACTTGAATCCCACCACTTATAAAAAAATACCAAACATGTAGCTTAACCAAGTGCTAACACTACTGTAAAAAAAATCAATACACAGATGTGCAAAAGGAATTTGGGTGAACTATTATCTGTCTGCATAAATAATACTTAGCTCAATAGTCTATTTTATATAAAGCAGTTCCTATTTCTACTGGGTCCAATGTGAGAACATATTAGTGAGTAATTGCTTAATTTTCATTTGTGTCAGAGTTTACTATTTTTCCTGGTACAAACTCTACAATACTAACTGAATGCATTACAGAATACATTATATTCTGCAATCTAGAATATGTTGTAATATGTGGAAATAAACTTAGAAATTATCCGCAATGTTAGAATAATTTATCATCCTTCTTTCTTTGTCTACAATTAATATACATAATTTCAGTCTTGCAAAATTATAGATAAACAGCCAATGCTTAACTGTAATTTAAAAACGCCTTGCTCTGGAGAAGATATGTTGACCTACTTCAGAGTATTAGAATCTTAGCTTAACAAGTTCAGATATTGATCTGTTTTATTCAGCCACTTTATCCTCCTTTATACCAGCAAGTACTGTAATAGGTTATTCAGTTATCTATATATTCCTCACAGTTTCCAAATAAGCAAAGACAAGATACCAATTTCAAACAATTTCACACTCTAGCTTATCTTAACCATTCATTACACCATTTCATTTTGAACTTAACAAAAAGTTACAGAAAAATCTAGATAACTGTTGTGGTTAAGGGTAGATATAGTTTGCTTGTTTTCTTGCTTGCTTAAATAAAGGAAAGAGCAAAGAGGTTCTCAATATAGGTTATAGGTTATATATAGGTTCTCAAAATCATTCATCTCTTGCTTCAGTAAGACAAGAGGTTGACAATCCAAACACACAAGATGACTTCTAAGAAATGAGCAGGATATGGAATGTTGTTGTTATATAAACCATATATCTTTTATTACCAACTATAACAGCATGCAGCTTCTCATCTATCAATTTCTTAAAAATTAGATGAATCTAAAACAAAAATCCCATCACAGGCAGCAGGCAAGAAGTCACTAAAACAGGTTGAAAGTACACTGTGCAATCCAAAACTAAGACTAATATATTTGTACAATCCATGTCACATTTACTGCATTGAAACAGGCTGAATCTAAGATTTCTTTTAATTCTTCACCTAGGCTATCATTATGGCATGCTTACACTTCCTATAATCCAAAGGGTCAATGTAAATTATAATCTCACAAATAATATACTCACACACATATTTATGCATACATCCTATTTTATCAGAAAGCTCTTCCATATGATATTGTTCTAAAGAATGTGATATAGTATTCAAAGAGAAAAAAGCAACTAATAAGCAACTACAGAAGATAACATTTTTAATAAGCCTTGGCACTAGAAGGTTTTTGTTACATTTTCATAACAATCATAAGAAGTACAATTAAACATCTAAAAGAGGAAGAGGAAAGCAAAGAAAATATTTCTTACGATCAGCTTGTACTTGAACAACATATCCTAGGGTCAATGCCATCCTTTGTGAATCAACCGTAGTCAAACGTTTAGCAGCTATTGTGCCCAACAAAGGTTTCCCATTGTATAAAGTATAGTAAGTCAATTCAGCAGGCTCCCGGGGACCTGGAATTCGCTGCATTTTTACCATCTTAAAACACACACACACACAAATAAAGACCATAAAAAGCAATTACATTTGTAATGTTAATACGTTCATTTCTGTATTCTGCAAAAGACAACATTAATTTGTAAATAGGCTTGTAAATTTAAATTACATTTTCAATTAAATCTGCAATATACATGAATATTCAGAAAGAAGTTATTTAGTTCATAAATACCACTGGGAACTTGTTTGTATCCCATATTGACAAGTTATACATAGACAGGGCTAGCTACAAATCTTAGTATTCCAGACACTAACTCTTTGTTCAGGAATTGATTTCCTTGGCAGAAAGCTCACAAACAAAACCTGGCTGGATTAGTTCATTTATTGAGACAAATGGATGAACCAAAAATAAACATACAAAATTTGTCTTCTATAGTACACAGGAGTATAAACCTACTAAACGTCAGGATTTGCATTGTAAGCTTAGTCTTTTCACCTGTCAGGATAAGCAGAACTTTCACTGTTGTCTTGTTATCTATGAAAGTCGCTTGATCTATGTTCACATAATAGTCCACTGCAATTTATTTGCATTCCTCTTGCATTTCAATTTCTAGGTACTAAATTAATCTGAGTGATTCCAGCTTCTTGGTGATTCATAAGCTCTGCTCCAATCAAAACAGATCAGACACCTAGGTTCACACACCAAATAACAAGATCTTGCTCTTAGATTTTCTTTTCATACAACCATGCGCAAATCAGATAACCAACTAATGGACGGGAACAGTAATTGGGGAAAGTCCTCCCCCAAACTTGGAATACCTTAATTCATGTGTGCTATAGGTACATTAATATATTTGGTACAATATTTCATATTACCTACATAAAACAGAAAACTTTGGTGTAAAAATCTCTCCCATTAGCAATCAAACATTCAGTGGAACACACACACACACACACACACACATATATATATATACATTTTTCTTACTTCTTCGTAGGGTTTATGTGTGTTTTTCTTCTAGCCAGGTTTTCCCTACGTAGCCAAGGTTTTTTGGTAGCTTCAGCTCAGTAGAATCACATCTACTCGGTTCTGGGCTTTTTTCCTTTTTCCTGCTAGGTGTCAGAAAGGAAAAAAGCCCAGAACCGAGTAGATGTGATTCTACTGAGCGGAGCTACAAAAAAACAACAACAAAAAACCTTGGCTACGTAGGGAAAACCTGGCTAGAAGAAAAACATATATATATATATAATAATATATATATATATATATATATATATATATATATATATATAATATAATATAATATGTAGGGTCTTTGGTATATTCGGGTCTTCTCCCACGTAAAATTGGAAGTGTCTTGGTGACGTTTCGACGAAGTCTCATTCGTCATCTTCAGGCTGGTGTTCTCGGCTTCGTGCTTCCAGGAGCAATGTGAGATCGCAGCTGTCTCTTCCTTTTAACTGCTAGTGGAGGTGTGAGCTGATTGGGTGGGAACTTGGCTGTGTTCTGATTGGGTGGAGGTGTGTTCTGATTGGTTAGGGGCTTGGCTGTGCTCTGATTGGCTGGGGTTGTGTTCTGTTTGGGTGGGGGCTTGGTTGTGCTCAGCTTGGTCTGAGTTGCAGGGGGATTTGAGCTGGTGAGCTGCGTTGTTGTTGTTTGGCTTCGTGTTTGTGGCCGTGCGAGCTCTTCATGGTGGGTGTCAGTCTGCTTCATGTATGGATTGGAGGGGTTTAAAGTGGCTAATGATGGAGCTGCGGTCTGGCTTCTGGTCCTTGGTCGTGAAATGATTTCGTATATGAAATCCCATGCACCGCCTGCCCCACCACATACATCGGACAAACCAACAGACGAATAAGTGCACGCATAGAAGAACACAAGAACTCAGTCAGAAAAGAGGAACCAACTTCTTCCCTGGTCCAACACCTTAAAGCCACAGGACATGATATTGACTTTAAAAAGACAAGAACTATCGCCAAAACTGAACACTTGAACAACAGAATAATCAGAGAAGCCATCGAGATAGAAAAACGCCCACACAGCATGAACAAACGAGACGATACCTCCCGCCTACCAGCCATTTGGAAACCCGCCCTTATTGACAAACGAGTCCCTAACACGACGAATGACACCAGACCCACACTCACGAGTGCAACACCTGATGTCACCACCACACATCCACGCAGAAAGCAGACTCAAACCCACACTGATAATGAGCCACGACCAAGGACCAGAAGCCAGACCGCAGCTGCATCATTAGCCACTTTAAACCCCTCCAATCCATACATGAAGCAGACTGACACCCACCATGAAGAGCTCGCACGGCCACAAACACGAAGCCAAACAACAACAACGCAGCTCACCAACTCAAATCCCCCTGCAACTCAGACTAAGCTGAGCACAACCAAGCCCCCACCCAAACAGAACACAACCCCAGCCAATCAGAGCACAGCCAAGCCCCTAACCAATCAGAACACACCTCCACCCAATCAGAACACAGCCAAGTTCCCACCCAATCAGCTCACACCTCCACTAGCAGTTAAAAGGAAGAGACAGCTGCGATCTCACATTGCTCCTGGAAGCACGAAGCCGAGAACACCAGCCTGAAGATGACGAATGAGACTTCGTCGAAACGTCGCCAAGACACTTCCAATTTTACGTGGGAGAAGACCTGAATAACCAAAGACCTACATACAAACACCCGCGAAAACCTGAGAAAACATATATATATATATTATATATATATATATATATATTATATATATATATATATATATATATATACATATATATATATATACATATATGTGTGTGTGTGTGTGTGTGTGTGTGTGTGTGTGTGTGTCTATAGTTAATATTTCGGGTTTCTTCCCGTGTAATTGTGGATATATCCCTAAAAGGGTAGAAGCAACGTTTCGGCAGAATCCTATCTGCCATCATCAGGCTTATGTCAGCAGTCATTTTGCACTAACTGCCGTTGGTATTTCAAATCTGGTGCTGGTATTCTGGGATGGCTCCACCTTTTCATTCTGATTGGTTGGGAGTCCCAGTATGTGTTTATTGGCTTGGCTTCGGGTGTATGGTCGGTTTTTCTCCACTAGGTGGCAGGGCTTCATCTTTGTGGCTGGTTTGAATATGATTTGGTTGGGATTTTTTTGTTTAATGTTTGGTCTATGTTTTATATATGGTGTTAAGATTCGTCTATCTATGACAGCAGGTTTCTAAATAGTAGGCAGACGTGAAGTGTCATCCCGTTTATTCATGCAATATGGTCTTTTTTTCATTTCTATTGCTTCTCTGATTATCCTGCCATTGAGATGTTCTATTTTTGCAACTGTTTTTGTTTTATTAAAATTAATGTTGTGTCCTGTTGTATTTATATGTTGAACTAATGATGATGTGTGTTCTTGCTTTTGTATTGAGTTTTTGTGTTCCTCGATGCGCACACTCATTCTTCTGTTGGTCTGTCCAATGTATGTTGATGGGCAGGAAGCACACGGGATTTCGTATATGCCTTGATCTTCTAATTCTATTTTGTCTTTGGGGTTTCTCAGAATGGACGATATCTTTCTATCTGTGCAAAATATGGTTTTGATGTTGTGTTTATGTAGTACTTTGCTAATTTTATCTGTTGTTCCCCTTATATAGGGCAAGATGGCTTTCCCATTGTTTTGTTCCTCTTGTTGTTTTTTATTCTGTCTTGGTGTTGTATGTTTGATCATATTGATGACTTTATTTCTACAGAACCCATTTGATGTCAGTACATTAGTTAGTGTATATAATTCTGTTTGTAAATGTGCTTCATCAGCCAGACGTTTAGTTCTTGTGGTTAATGTTTTGGCAACAGAGTTTATTTGTGCTGGATGGTGGTGTGATTTGGCATTGAGATAGCGGTTCGTATGTGTCTTCTTTTGATAGATGGTATGTCCTAAGGTGCCATCAGATTTTTTATAAATTAATACATCGAGGAAAGGTAACTGGTTTTCTGATTCTATCTCCATGGTGAACTTTATTTTGGGATGGAGGCTGTTCAAATATATTAAGAAGTTTTCCAATTTATCTCTTCCATGTGGCCAGATCACAAAGGTGTCATCAACGTATCTGAGCCATAATTTTGGTTTGTTAACAGTTTTTTCTAAGGCATTGGATTCGAATTCTTCCATGAAAAGATTAGCGATGACTGGTGATAATGGTGATCCCATTGGTGCACCTTCTACTTGTTTATATCTCTGTCCTCTGTGTATGAAATATGTATTGGATAAACAATGTTCTGTTAAGTTTGTGATATGTTTTGGTAGTTGATATTTGTTTTTAATTGATGACAGGGCTTCTTTGACAGGTATTTGTGTGAATAGTGATACAACATCAAAGCTTACAAGAAGGTCACTTTCTTTTATGTGTTGCTTTTTTATTATTTGTATGAAATGGTATGAGTTCTGTACATATGAAGCAGCAGATTCTGCGTAAGGTTGAAGATGTTTTGTTAAATATCTGGCTAGATTTTGTAAAGGTGAGCCTATGGAACTTACTATGGGTCTGAGAGGTATTCCATCTTTGTGTATTTTTGGGAGGCCATACAGTTTTGGGCATTTTGATGATTTTTCTCTGGGAATAATTTTTTGTTGGATTTCTTTACTTATAGTACTTGATTTTATCTTTATCTTCGTGGTTTTTTCTAGATATGTTGTTGGGTCTGTGTTTATGGGATTATATGTGGCGTCTTGAAGTAAGTCAGACAGTTTCTTTTTATAGTCCACTGTGTTCATTACTACTGTTGCATTGCCTTTATCTGCTGGTAATATCATTATGCTATTATCGTTTTTTAAAACTTGCAGTGCTTTTTGTTCTTCTTTTGATAAGTTGCTTTTAGGTGGTTTACTAGTACATAGAATGTTGGTGACGTCATGCCTGACTTTATCAGCATCGTCAGCACTGAGTTTCTTTAGGCTGGTTTCAACTTCACAAAAAAAAAACTTACATACATACATACATACATACATACATACATACATACATACATATATATATATATATATATATATATATATATATATATATATTGAAATAGTTTCACATGTCTCATTTTCAAACAAAGAGATGAAGAAAAAACAACAACTGTGAGTTGTTCTAATTTTAACCTACCAAAATTTATAATAAAAATGAACAGAAAAACCTTAATCTTCACTACAATATGAAGTTTCTGGTTGATACCTCCCAAAATACTGCAAAAGAGGGAGACACTTAAGAATTGTCTTTAGTTCTTTTCTCTACCTGCACAGTAAAGCTGCCAATAGTAGTGGCTCGTTTAAATCGTCTTTCTTGTTGTTGAGACATCATGAACAGTGGTGCCAAACGTTGCTCCATGAGTCTTGCAAAACTTTGGTTATTCACCCCCAGCAATGTAATGTCAACTCCCAGTAAAACTACAAAAATAGAAGGAAAATACATACTGCAGCAGTGAGTTAAAGATATATAAACATATACGCTTAAAAAAATGTTTTTCTTTCAACACTTTCAAGTGTTGTGTGTCTGTTTTTTTATGTACAATATTCAATCCAGCATAGGGCCTGTACATGTGTACAAGTACTGTGTGACCTTTAATTGGTTGTTAAAATATATCTTAATCCTACAACATATTTGTAAAATGTTTTTATTGAAAAATGGCTTGGAAGCACATTCCACAAATCCTATTGTGGACATTAGCTTCTACCATTTTATAGCTGTTCTTATTATTATTGTCAGGGTTCCAAGTAACACCCCCAACGAAAGAAGACTCTGAGGCTAGAAGTTCCTCAAACGTTCCATTTTATTAGAGATGTCATATTGGCACATCTGGGAAAACCCAAATCTGAAAGCTTCCAGGTTTTTCCCACCCAAAAGAAAGTCCAAGTCACATGTCCATCACATGGTCCAATCAATGCACCGTCCCAACTGGAGATGCTTCCCAGTCACACTACTCCAGGTGCAGGGCAGGATGTCCTTGACTCTCAGAGAAAAGAATGTTATTATGGCTAGATATCTCCCCAACTCCATACAATCCCCCCTCCCAGTTTCCCACAGCACTAAATGTGGCAGCCCTGAAGATCCAAAGTAAAAGATGGCTTCCAGGACTGACAATTAGAAGCTTATATACAATACTTTTTCACTTGTGCTCTAAAGGGTTAAATAGTTGTTTTATTAGCATCGTTTTACTTTGATTATTGTTAAATATATGTTTTAAATATTGATTCCCATGTGGCGACCGCCCTTATAAATTATGAACAGATGACAATTACAATTTTAAAAAAAATGAATTGCCATGTTAAAAATGATCATAAAAATATGGACAAAATGTTCTCATGGGTAATCACAATTGTTAAAGGTCACCGTGAAATAATTTATTATTTATTTATTTGTTTATTTATTTGAATTTATATACCGCCCTTCTCCCGAAGGACTCAGGGCAGTATACAGCCAGAATAAGAACACACAAATAGAAAATTTAATAACAATTTAAAATATATATTAAACCTTATGGCTCATAACTAATTAAAAACCCATTTTTTGAACCTCAAGAATTAAAAATTAAAAATTAAAGATTAAAAGATAAAAAGAATTAGAATTAGGCCAGCCCGGCTTGTTGGAACAAAAGGGTCTTGAGGGCACAGCGGAAGGTGCGTAGGTCCGGGATCCTCCGAATCTCTGGGGGCAATTCGTTCCAGAGGGCAGGTGCCCCCACAGAGAAGGCTCTCCCCCTGGGGGTCACCAGTCGACATTGCCTGACCGACGACACCCGGAGGAGACCCTCTCTGTGGGAGCGTACTGGCCGGTGGGAGGTTATTGGTAGCAGAAGGCGGTCTCATAGGTATCCAGGTCCTAAGCCATGGAGCGCTCTAAAGATGTTAACCAACACCTTGAATCACACCCGGAAGACCACTGGAAGCCAGTGCAACTCACGCAGGATAGGTGTTACATGGGAGCGCCACGTCACCCCAATCACCTGCGCGGCCGCATTCTGCACCAGTTGGAGCCTCCGGGTGCTCTTCAAGGGGAGCCCCATGTAGAGAGCGTTACAGTAGTCCAGGCGGGAAGTGACGAGGGTGACCATGCGCAAGGAGTCCCGATCCAGAAAGGGACGCAATTGGCGAATCAGGCGAACCTGAAAAAAGGCCCCCCTGGCCACAGCCGTCAGATGTTCTTCCAAGGACAGCCGTGCATCCAGGAGGATGCCCAAGTTGCGGACCCTCTCCGTGGGGGCCAAAGACTCACCCCCAATAGTCAGCGATGGCATCAGCCGACTATATTGGGACACCGGGAGCCACAGCCACTCGGTCTTGGAGGGGTTGAGTCTGAGCCTGTTCCTCCCCATTCAGATCCGCATGGCCTCCAGGTACCAGGACATCAAATAAAAAACAGTACCTGCACACATGTACATTTTCTATGCTATATTGAATATTGTACATTAAAAAAAAAACCACACAACACTTGAAAGTGCCAAAAGAGAAAAAAAAAACCTCTAAAAGACCAGAGAAACAGAGTTGTAGCTTATTTATTGAGAAATGGAGAACAGGGGTTCCATTAGATTTACACTGGGAATCACAGAAACACAAGAAATATTTGACTCTCCAAGAAATGACTGGTTTCTACTTATGTTGCAGCCCAAACAAATTGGAAGTAATCAACTACATAACAAAGTATTTGTTTCAATTCAGGAGATAAATGTTCTCTGTGGAAGTAATTTAAACCAAAGCACAGCTGTACAAAACCTGCAGATTTAGAAAGTTCCACATTTCTCCACAAAACTGCAACATGAATGAATTGTGCCGAAGCACAATTGCATTGCAGAAAAAAATATTGTTCCATATTCTTACTTTCTTAAGCAGAGAAAATATGCAACTTGCATAGTTAACCATCCATACTGAGAATGTTCATGTTTTCTTAACTACTGTGTTCTCGGATTTAGCAAAAACAAAATCCCACTTGTATTTTTCCAAGAATGTGTCCCTTAGACAAAATGGATTTTCTCAGGAAATTAATCTCACTGGTAGAGTTGTTTGGTATGTAGGGGGCAGATTGTTGAAAAAGGAGTGCTAGCAGGGGAAAATCAACCCTTCTCATATGCATGCTGAGAGGAACAGTTTAAGTATGTTGCTATGAGACAGCCAGATGTATATATGACCAATATGTATTTATAAATCAACACTTTGTATACCTTGTTATTTTTGTTAAGGTTCTGAAACTTGTAAACCTTGGGCATATTATTTTTGGATATGAAATTCATAGTTTTTTTTTCAAAACTTATTCAGTAAATGAATAAGGCAATAATTTGCAGAAGTCTCAGACTATTTAATACTTTACGAAGACACCAAAAAATGGCAGATATCGCACTCATTTTAACAATGTCAACCTCACAATGTCAAGGTTCTCTCATTAGGAAAATTCTGTTTTAAAAAAAAACTCTTTACCTGTAATCACCCAGTAATCTCTAGTTGTTTCTGAAGTATCGAGATTTGGATATTCCAGTGCTTTAAAATAAAACAGGAAACAAAGCAATAAAATACTCAACTAGTTTCACATTTTCCAAATTGTCTTTTTTTCTTGTGCTGTGCCAAAAATTTATTCTGCAAAATGTCAGTTTTGTTTTCTTACCAGGAATCCTTGCATGCAAATATTCCTTATTACTAAATGTCTCAATAAACTCCAGAATCAGATCGTCAAGCTCACATACAAAAGGAAAATCACACAGATCATCTATACTTTCCAAATACGTCTCATAGGTTACATTATAAATTGTGCACCGGAGAAAATATATGAGTTGGTGTTCTTTGGAAATCAAGCCCCACATCAAGCCCCCCAAGCTACTCATATCTGGCATATAAACTGAAGTCATAATTCCCTTCAGAATTTGCTAATCAGGTTTTGGGTAACTTTAAAAATAAAAGACAACTAAAATGTGATTATAGTGAAGGTGGGAAAAATCTATTTCAAAACCAGTTCAAAGGGTTACAAAATAGTTAGCTATCCTATTCATCCAGGTGGTAGGCAGAGACAACAGAAGTCAGGGTCATGTCCAGAGGCCAATCAGGAAAATAGTTTCCTTCTCTCAGGTTGGCTTTCTTTTTAAAGGAGTCTTTTGGAGTTGGAGTTTTCTCCTTCAAAAGCAACTGAAAGCAAGGAAGGGGGGAAAGTATATTTCCCCAAAACAGAAGCAACAGGGCTACATCTATAAATTTAGGCACAAGTTAGGATTAGTAAAATTTGCCGTAGTACATTCATTGAGATCTTGTCTCTATGAAGTTGCAAGAGTTCCTGGAGCTGAGGGAGCAATTAGTTCTTGAATTAATAGTGATTAAAATCAACCTCTCGAGACAGCAATTGTTCATTTCTTCTTTTTTTCTCCCTTCCAATTTCTTCTAGGTTACTAATAACACTCACTGAGTTATTCTATACAAAAAAAAAAAACCTAAATAAATTCTTTCTTTTGAAAGAAGTATTTCTTTCTTAATTGTATGCCTTCTTCTTGCCAGGTCAAACTATTTAAGGAACAGGACTGTCACAAGACTCTTCTCTGGAAAATGAGCGAACAAGAAGGTACTCTGGAGAACAATGGCTGAGGATTTGTGAAAACAAGATTTGAAGATCCCCTTCTAGATTGCAATAAGGGGTCCCAAGGTACTACTTCATGTGCCTTCATGAACCCCATTAGTCGTTTTAATATTCCAGATTGACAACTACAAATTATGTATACACGTTCAAGGTTATTTTACTCAAACTCCAGAATATATTCTTTTCACAATAGAGTTATTTATTTCTCCCATATAGTATTCCACCTTTTTTATATATAATTCAAGGTGGCAAATTTGATATTCTTGCCTATTTTCCACACATGATTTGTAAATACCTCTTGAAAAGTCATTATAAAACTAGTCAGAAGAATGCTCATACAGACCAGAATTCTCCCTTCCAGGCAGGTCTTCTAGAGAAGGTCTATTAAAAGTCACCCTCCTCGCAAGGTATATGAAGTACAGCCACTCTTTGTTTAGTGGTTACCTCATTTAACAACTGTTCTCAAATACAAAGGTAAATTAAAAAATATATTTTCTGATCTTTGCACAACTTTAGGACCAAATTTTGTGTGCATAACTATCAAAACCTTCACTGTGAAATGTTAGCAAACTTAGGGAAGCACTATATTGCACAGAAAAGCAGCTTCAGGAAGAAACAGTCTGCTTAAGCAATCTCTATATACCCTGCGAGGGGCAAAAAAAAAAGGGGGGGAAGGAAATATGTCAGGCATAGGTCACTGTGGGAGACAATATTGAATGGGGCAGCAACAACCAGGGATCTTTACAGCATTTCTCTCTCTCCCTCAGAGGTGTGTGTTCACTTAGCAACTATTTTGCTTAATAATATTTTTCTTTTGATTTAAGGAATGGATTGCAGTCACTAAACAAGGGGACAATATTTAGACTAAGCAACAGGCCTCCTCTGCAGCAGCTCCAGTTTCAAAACTCTCTGTATGAAGCTTCATGTAGCCCACTGCTTGTCAATATTCTATGAAGAAATTAAAATTGTATTGTTCCTTTGATGAGCTTTCATCCCTGATTGACTGAATGAGAGCATCTACCTTGGGGTATGATTTATTCTGTGGTTGCTCTAAGCCACAAAGAGCCCTTCAAGATTGGGGGCAGATTATAATACACAAACAACATGCAATAAGTAACTATTTTCCAAATTGGTACTACCCACATGTTTTGGCAAACTGGATTGGTTAAAGCTGATGTGCACAGTCAACAGACCCATAACGGTATGTAACAATACATATCCATACAGATAATATGTCTAAAATAAATGCTAATTCATTCATTAATACATTAATGCAACATTAACAGCATTTTAATTTAAAAGACAGGTATACTGATGTGCCAACATTCACATATGTCATGTAAGAAGAAACATATTTTTCTGAGCAATCAATTATCAAACGTAAATTTCATTGCAGCAATTTTATTCTATTTATGACTTTTTAAATCATGTATGAAGGAGATTTTACAGCCTAAAGGGAAATGACAGTATGAAAATGTTCCGTGCCTTTACCAATAAATTAAAATTATGCAGTAGCAAATTAATAAGCTCTTTCTAGATTGATATTTACAGAAGAGAAATCATGAACCTTGTATGCTCTTCAGATTTATGAGACAACATAGCAAAAAAGCAAAAAAAAAAGTAATTATGTGAAAGAACAGGAGGGGACTGCAATATAATGAAAAAAAGATTCTTCCTCAGTGCCAAGTTTAAGATAAAACCCCTCTTGGTGTATATAATGTTGAAAGAGTAAGAAAATTTTGTTCCATCAACAAATAAACAGAAATGGATCCAACTCAGAGTTTATTAGAATATACATATTGTCTTTTAAATCTATTGTTCAATGTTTATAAAAATTTGGTTGCCGGCAATGTTACTGAGTAATCATTTCATGACCTGATAACATACTTTGGAAACCAGTCTGGGGAACTGGTACTACTTAATTTTATTAAGCCCCTTCAGTATTTCTTTTCAGATGCATTTTAAATACAGGTTTTCCCCATATTCCCTTTTAAGGAAAGATGGTTGGCAAAGTAAACTAATTTGTTATCTGAAGCAAACTAATCAATGGTTCTTAAATACTAAATATTTCCAAATAGCCTATCAGTTATTAATAAATATGTTCCTGAGCTGAACTCACAATGACTTTTTGATTCTGTCCATGTCCATGTCATGGCAGCATATGAAAATGAATTGCTTCTTTCCCCAGAATACCTTTTTAACAATCTAGCCTGCAACTCTACTATTTCTTGTTGTTATTATTTGAGGGACAAATGAAGTCCTACCCTCTTTAGCTTTATGGGATTAGCCAAGACTGGCAAGGGGTTATCACCTCCTGAAATCTCATTTAATATGAATGATTACCAAATATTAGGGCAATGTGAAGAACATGATGAATGACTGTTATCTTTTGGGCCAACTTGAGATAGATGCCTTGGTAAATTTTCTACGAGTTGATTACAACAGGGGTCCCTTTTTGATTCCATGGATGGGTGGCAGTGTGCACAACCTAATTCCCACGCATTAACAAATGAAGTTTTACATGCTCGCCCATCATTTTGGTGGCCTGGATCCCAACAGGTTCAGGATCCCTGGATTACAATAACAGTTCCAAAGAGAGGGTTTTGAAACTTTAATTTTACCTTTTTATTATTGTTGCTGTTGTTGTTGTTAACTATTTGGTCATTAATATAGTATATGGATGACAGGCTAATAACTTGCAAATAGATTTAGTAGTTTAAAAATTGGCGGGGGCTGTTTCACAAGGGGTGAGAAACTAATATTGTTGTAATATATTAATCTGTATTCAACTAGGGAGGATAATATGTGTATATAGGTTAGGTTTTTTTCCCAATGCATTTTAATGTTTTGTTTGTGTTTTCTTCTTTTTTTAAAAAATAAACTTTTGAAGTTTTTTGAATTTGTATTTTAACTTTTTTTTAAATAAAATAAAAATAGAACAATAAAATAGGGAGTAATATAAAGAAGACTTACCTTCAGCAATAGTTAATGGTGGGAAAGTAAGATAGAATCCCACCAATTCTGCTGAAAGCTGATTAAGAAGGTTGCTTGAAACTGTGCCATTTAAGACTGTACTTTCATTTCTCACCACATAAAACAGAGTGACAGCCTGAGACACATTTGATGTGTTCAGGATCTGAAAAAATAAAACAATTGCAATAGGGAGAGAGTGGATAAATTCATTTTGATTTATTGTTCTTTCCATGTATTATTATATTAGTGCAAAGATCAAGGGTAAATGTTAATCATGCTATTACTGTAAAAGACACATGCGCCCATGTATTTTTACTCTTTAGATAGACAATCCAACCAACCCAACAGGCAGTAGAAAAGAATATTTCTATTTCACAAACAAAAACTCATCTTGGAAGAACATTTTTAATATCAATAATGATGGGCCATTTGGATGTATCCTTAATGATGGGCCATTTGCCTGTATATATGAAAGAAAATGGTAACATTTCTGTTGTTATGTTTAATTCTGCTCCATTTTTAAATTTTAAGAGCTGAGCATTCAAAACATTCAAATCTCATTTGTTCTTATAGCTTTTCCCACCCATCTAATCTGCAGGGCTATCAACTATACAAATTATAACCAATTTTATACTATGGAAACTAGAATTGGGGGAAAATGGGAGAGGGAACAAGCAGGAGAAGCAAAAATGGCATGTTCCATGCACAGGGGAGACAATATTTCATTCAGGTTTCTTCCATTAAAACAAATAGGGAGTGGAGGAAGTTCAAATGGGAAATGTGTCTTGTCTTCATGGTAATGCCATTTTCAACAGAGTAATGTTATGCCCACAAAGTTTACCACATGCTTTCAATGCATATTATGCAAGTCTAATTGCACAGACCTGCAGCAAACATCTGGGGCAGACAAGACTGCCATCCTTTCTTGATGCTCAAAGAAGAAGCAAAAGAGCACACATAACTCTTCCTCGTCTCTATTAGTTTAAAAAGAGCCCCCAAAAATATGCTGTGCATCATGCATGAATTGAAGGAACCAAACAAATTCTTGCTTACAGGCACATTCTAAATGTAAGAAAACTCAAACAGATTTAATACAATGAGATAAAGATCTCATCTATGATAGGAAGATGATATTACAAGATTCTGTACTGATGAAGGACAAAAATATCATAAGGGAGGGAATATACAGGTATCAGGTCCAATCACTCCTATCACTCTTGTTCATTGCTGGCTTCTTGTTCTTTGTTCTATCTGCTTTGAGGGTATATTGCTCTAAGAACCATTAAATTATATTTTATAAGGAACATATTTATATGATACTAAAAGGTGTTAAAAGTTCAAACCGATAATAATATAGATCAGTTGGTTCATATAAAAATTATTCAAATGCCAAATGAATTATTTCTTATTCTGAATTCAGATTTTTTTTCATAAAGCAATTACTATATATGATTCATACTCTTTCTACACAAAGTAAACAGTTCACTTCTGCCAGTCAAGCTTATCAAGCCAAATTTTTGACACTTCTTTCCTTTGGCATGTCCCTGTAGATTTCTGGCATGACTAGTCAACTAGAAAGGATCCTATCAAACTTTATTTTGATTTTTACCACTCAGTATATAAAATATGACTCCATATCTGGAAGTGAGTATATAATTAACTGAATGTAAAACTTGGAAAAATGTTTGAAATGATTATTGAATTCTGCCATTGCTCCGTTTAGTAACACATACTAAATTATGATGGTACATATCTTTTAGTTAGTTATAGCTTTGAAAAGATTCCAATATCCACAAAATAAAAGTAACTGGTTTAGTTTTACAGCATCTCAGAAATGCAGCCTGTAAGTTTTAGCACTATATTCTTAAATAATATTTCAATAATAACTACAAATAAGGGGCTAAGATCCATTATTCATACAGTTTAACTGCTTTTAAATGTGGAACCGGACTGTATTCACTTTAATTAGTGCCCTCTGTTTTGTGAACTGGCCAGTTAACACAATTCAATTGGTTTTGCAGATACTGAACAGGATTTTGGTCCTTATGTTTTATTTGTAATTTTATAGACAGATCAGTTTGAGATGAATCTTGTCGTTGCTAATTACTGTGCATGAGAGCCCTACAACAGCTAGCTAACTCATTCATTCATTCATTCATCTCCTTCCACTTATGACTGTATGACTATAACTTTGTTGCTTGTATCCTTACAATTTATATTGATATTGACTGTTTCCTGATTGCTTATTTGTACCCTATGACTATCATTAAGTGTTGTACCTTATGATTCTTGATGAACGTATCTTTTCTTTTATGTACACTGAGAGCATATGCACCAAGACAAATTCCTTGTGTGTCAATCACACTTGGCCAATAAAAAATTCTATTCTATTCTATTTTAAAATATTTATATAGCCACCCATCTTGTAGAACACAACCCTGGGAGGCTAAAATAAACACGAACAAAAGAAAACCAAGAAAAACCAGGCATCCAATCCATCATCAACACTCATTCATGCAATCTGCTTAGCAGATAAATAATTGCAGAGAGGATAAATAAATTTCCTCATTTCTGAATCTTTTTTTAATACAAAGTCCAGCTCAAAATCTCAAATTCTGCTTGTCAGAGCAGACCCACACAGTATTCCTTGATATCCACCAACAGTGGATCTCTTGGCTCCAAAGAAAGTGGCATATTGAACGGAAAAGTGTGAGAGATGTATAGAAATCAAATACAATTTTGTAAGAATAGCTGCCCTTGTATGTGTTTATATAAACATGGAAGTAAGATTCCATACATATATGCAATGGTTAAGGTGTTAGACGAGGAATAGGGAGACCTAAAGTCTAGTCCACTCTCAGTCATGAAATCTCACTGGGGTAACTTTGGGCTGCTCATACTCTCTCAGACCAAAATAGGAAGAAAGAACATTATGGATACTGCTTTGAGCTCCTGTACAAAAAAAAAAAAGAGGGCAGGATATAAACCTATTAAATAAATGAATAATGATAAATGGATGATAATAAAATAAATGAATAATACATTACAAGTGTCATCATATGAATCATGAATTTTCTCTTAATAAATGGTAATAATAAAATATATTTATATTGGCCTTCCAATTATACTGATAACAATATGATACAAATAAGACCTGCAAAGAATCTTCATCTGTTTTATGTAGTAATAATTTGATAAAGTTTAGAATTTTTACCTGAACATTTAATTTGCTAGTGGTATTCAAGATCTTCCTCTCAGCATCTTGAAATGCCCTCTGCAATCTTTGTTCCATTGTCTGAACAAATCTGCATGACTGTATGTTGTCTGATTCATCCACAAACTGTAATTCTAGATGAACAAGAGCCATTGCATTTAGTGAATATATATTCTCTGCCTTGTTAAAACTTGCAACTCTACACATATCTTGAAGAACAAAGTCTCTTCAAGTCAAACTTACTGTCAAGCTTCCAAGTAATATGTCCCCTGAAAAAATGTCCAAGGCATCCATTTTCCATTAAAGCCTTTTTATTAGGATTACTTTATCCTGATGACGATCAGGTAGTCTTCTTGCAACAGTACTAAAGTGGTTGGCCATTTCTTTCTTCTAGGATGATTTTTACTGCCCTACCTAGCCTGATATTTCATGGAGCTCTCCCAGCTATACTCAGCTCCAAGGTCAGCCACATTCACACTAATCAGGATTAAGCCCACTGAATTCAAAACTTACTTCTAAATAAACGGAACAAAATTCACTGCACAAGATTTCATACTATGGCATTAAAACGGATCATTAAATATATAGTACAAGTATATCTTGCTTAAGAACCATTTGTTCAGTGACTGAAATTATGGCAGTGCTGAATAAATGTTACTTATGGCCAGTCCTCAAAATCCTGGCCACAGCAGCACCCCCCACAATCACATGATCATGGTCCAGGTACTCAGGTGCCCAGTTTGTGATTACAAAGTCACAGGAAGCTATGTCACATAATCACTATTTGCAAACTTCCCTGCTGGCTCTCCACAAGCAAAGTCAATGGGAAGCCAGCAGAAAAGGTCACAAGTTCCTCTCACTTTTTGTCCAGTCTGCAGTACTCCCCATCAGCCCAGAGCCTCTGCCAGTTCTCCTTCAGCCTCCCCTGACTTGCACACAGCCTATGCCAGCCCTCTCACAACTTGCATGCAACCTGTGCCAGCCATCCCCCACAGCACCTCCACGCTCCTTACCTGAGACTCCTGCCTCTCCCTGCTTAATGACTTGTATGCCTTGAAGTTACAATGGCAACCAGGGCTGCCTGGGATTGCTGTCACTATGTGATGTGGTCATGTAATATCACACTTTATAACCACATCTCCTAGCGATAGCAATTCCAATCCCAATGGTGGTCGTAACCTGAGGACTAGCTTAGTAACGCTAGTAGTATGAAGCATTATGTTTCTATTTCAAGTAAATCAATTCCAATCCAACCAATTATGATAGATACAATCAGTACTGTTGTTTGGATTTTTTCCCTCCTTCCTCTTTAACTCTTTTGCTTTCTGTGTCACGTTTTTAGATGATAAATGTAGAAAAGACACTTTTAATAGTGGTATTTGTTAACCATTCTGTGAACCTTTTTGAAGAGTGTTAAAAGCTTTTTTAAAGAGCAGGAAAATAGTGTGATACAGTTAAAGGAATAACAAAAATCAAATGTTGTTGTAACACATATAAAAAGTGTGCTTTGTTGCTTCAGACCTAGTAGTTTAAAACAAATTGAAGCAATTCTATTAGCTAAATCATTGTTACAATTAAAATAGCTAATTTTATCTAATTAAATGCCACTCTCTTAATTTTCAAGGGGCAGATTGACCCAATTGTTCTCAAATACTATCTGACAGAAGGACAAGCCTTAAACAGGGAAGGGAGGAATACCCACTTCTAATACATTTTGATTACTGGAGCACAGTGTCTTTGGGGCCAAGTTTAGTTCCCCACTCCAATTTAGAAGAACCTTAGGTGTACAAAGACCTTTTTATTTCCTGTTCTAACACTGAAATTTGTAGCTGTACTAACAGATATAACCCTATTACCTCTGAGACTGTACATTAGAGAAAATTTACCTGTTTTCAGCTGAAAATGATAAGCTGGCAATGGGTTCCATGGTAAGGCTAAGACAGCAACAGAATGAAGATTTGGCACATGTTTCCTAATATCTAAAGTGGCATTAGTAACACCATAAGCAATTAGCATTTCAATAACCACAGCAGGTATGAAAACGAGTCTGTCCTGAGTAACATAGTAACCAATTGTCACATTGTTTGATTGCTCCAGAATTTCTATCTGAAAAATAAAAAAGATAAATATGCATTTCATATTCCTCACAATTAAGGAGTTTTGATTCAGATCACTAAGAGAACTGTATGACTCTTCTGTTCAAGGAACTAAAAAGATTAAACTTTTAATCTCAAAGAAATGATCAAGACAAAATTGCCCTTTCAATAAAATTATAAATAATTAAAAATGTTTTGTTAGATTAACAGACTCACTGAAGAATGAGCATAAAGTGAAAAGCACTTGGCCTTAGGTGACCCGACTTACTTCAAATGGATTATTCTCTTTGTTGATTAATTTAGTATTCATTAGTCTTATATTACTTTACTAAACTCTACAGTTACAGTGTCTTGGAAAAATGCAAGTTGTTATAACAAAATACATATGGTAAGTTTCTTGGTTCTATGTTATACTATATGCAAATATCAGTTAAGAGCTTGCCTTACAAGACACTGGAACATTGGAATGGAATACTAACTATGCATTTTACAAATCCATACAGACCATTATTCCTTTGGAATAAAGGAAAAAGAGCAATGGAAAGGATACTAAAGTTGTAAAAACCAAAATATTATGCAAACCAGAGAACAGCTTAATAACAGTAATAGCTCGCTCTCTATTGTACCTCCTTAAATATTTTGGAAGTAAATTTGGTATGCTTTTTCCTTTTTTCAGATAGATCTATTGGCTCTCCTACAAATTAACTGACCTTAACTGAATAATAGAGTTAGAAGGAACCTTGGAGGTTTTCTAGTCCAACTCCATGTTCAAGCAGGAGACCCTACACCATTTCAGACAAATAACAGTCCAATCTCTTCTTAAAAGTGAATAATAGAAGTCCCATTCCACTGGAATGAGTTGCATGTTCCATTCCGGACACTGCATTTTCAATCGGAGATTGCTCGTTGCAAAATGCCCAGACTTTTCAATCTTAATGATCAAAGCTCCTTCTCTGTTCTGCCTAAAATCAAGGAAATATATTCTAAAAGAAACTGGTAAATAAAAATAGTTTGCTTTCATATTTGTAATTCGCAACAATTCTGCCGATTCTATACATTTTCACAAAGATGTTAAAAAGAACCCTTAGCTTGTGTCCTTAATCTGATTATAAAACAGACACCAAACTTGCTTACTTGTGCATTGACATTTTGATTGAAAGCTTGACGCAATGCCAGGGTGAGACCTTTAGTGACATTTTGTTTCAAGGAGCCACTCAGCAGCAGTCTTCTTGTATTCAGAAACAATACTAGAATGTAAAGATGCGTATTTATTTACAAGTATCCTTTGTTCACTTTCTCTATATTTTTTTCCAAATCACAAGGCCTGGCCATATAATTTACAAACAAACTGAATTCTGCAAGGGAATTTACATTCAGTACTGAAAACTTGAACTCAAGTAAAAATTATTATTTACAATCAAAGACCATTAATTGTTAATCTTCTAAACCAACAATGTCATCATAATCATAATTAAATAATTAGAAATCCTTATTGATAAAACGTTTCTTAGCCCTAGAAGAGTCTGTAGCTTCTCATGAAGTTTCCTAATTTGTTACTTGATGACAAATCTTCTCTCCTTATTTTGGCCCTTTAATAAAATTGGCTTTTATACGTGATTCCAATTTTGTAATTGTTCTGGATCCATTTCATCAAATGCTCTCATGAATAGCATATCTGGTGGTGTGACCTCAGAACAACCTCTCCTATCCTGGAACTCCCCAAATGTACTGCAACTCTCAGAAATCTAGGAGCCAGCTTGAGAAAGACTGCCTTGGAGGAAGAAGAGGACAATACAGGGGAATTAAGCAGATCTTGATATTGCCAGCACCTTAGAAAATGCCATTTGTGGAATCCGGAGGTTCAGGAAATCAATGTTCCCTAGCTGGTCCCATCCTTTATCTCCAGGCATAGATTATCCACAGGAACAGAGGTAATAGTATGTTCAAACAGAAGCCTAGAATCAAAGACACAATTTCCCATCTAGAAACACAATGTTCCCAATTCCCAAATCCTACCCATAATCATGGGAAGGCATGCTTCTCATACAGTTCAAATTAGGATCTTCCTAATAAGCTTATACATTAGGAAGGTATAAAACTTCTGGCAAGATCAGAACCAAACAGAGTAAAGTTAAGAGGACAGATGAAAACTGCTCCTTGAAGAAGGAGATCTCAAGCCACCAGCAATACATGGGTGGGGAAATAATAAATATTGAATTTATTAACAATAGGGTTTATATTTTATACTGAGCAATTGCTGAAACCCATTCTTAACTGCTTCTATAATTCTTGTAATATCTTACTTATTAAAGACCTGTGTCTTTGAATCCTTATCAATATGATTCCAAGTCTAGTGTCAGCTAAAAGAAAGTTGATGGTTGGAACGAGGCAGTAACATCAGCTATAAAGGTCTTAAGCCTGATGAACAAACCAGTACATTATCCCATGTATGTTTGTAAAATCTTTGCTGGACAGTTCCCTTTCTATCTTATACAATTGGGAAACATGCGGCATCATGTGGAGTGCAAAACTGCTAAAACCTGAAAGGAGTTTCCTGCTATTTCAAGGTGAGAAAGTAAAGAAAATTGTAAGGGAATCTTTATAACAAGAATATCAGGATTAGAAAAAGATCTCCCCAAACCTAGCCCTTCCAATGTGTATAATATGGACTTACCCTATCTGAAATACTTGGTGTCAAACTTTGTCCCTTAACCATCAAATAGTGCCCATCTATGTAATACACCAAGATTCTCAATCTACTGGATCAGAAGTCCCCAACCCCCAATTCATGGACCGGCACTAGTCCGCAGCATACCAGAAACTGGTGCGTGCAAACAAGCAATGCCCCATCCATGGGATGCCAGCAGCCTGGGAAACGACGACTCCTCTGGTCCATGGAAAAAACTCTGTCCAAGGAACCAGTCCCTGGTGCCCAAAAGGTTGGGGGCCACTGTACTAGATAACTCTTGGCCTTGAGATTAAGCAGACTTTTCAGCCATTCAGCATTAATGGAAGCACCACTAGTTTTAGAACTGTGCTATAAGAACTTTGAGCTAGGCTGTGTAAAAAAAAAGATTTAAGAAATACTATCTATCCACCTAGTTATCCTTTTCACTTACTGTGCTAATTTTAAAAAAACTCTGAAATTAATTATTATACTTTCATAATCAAAATCAATATCTAGCATCCAACTGTACACATATTCATACCTGTCTTAACAAGCAGGTTTCTGGACAGCTGGCATTCCAGAGGGAGAACTGTTGTCACATTAACAAAAGCTGATTCAGTAGCAGCAACAGAAGCATTTTCAGCAGATGTAGGGAGAAGTCTAGATGTTTTCGCTGATGCTGTAATAGATGTCAAAGCTGCTGTCATTGTTAATGGGTATGCAGTTGATGTTTTACTGATGTCTGGGCTTGTGGATTTCTTGGTGTCAAGTAATGTTTCAGTTTGTCTTGGTGCATGTGTTGTGGGCACTGAAGCTGTACTAAATTTCTCAATTGGGGATGAACTAGTGATATATTCAGGTATTACAGAACCATCCCTTGATACAACTGGAAAATTTGCATGTATTACTACTGGGCTTAAAGTTGGTGCCATTTTTGTGACAGTGTTATTTTTTGCTAATGTTGACTTTAACGTGCTTAATGCCATCACAGATGGTGAATTGTCAGTGCTCAGTGAGAACAAGGATGAAGTCAGCATTGGTGATGTTGGAGCTGATTTTCCTGTAACTGGTGTTGCTTCTGAAGTTGCTAGAGATGATAATACACCAGGAGACACAGACGGTAACACTGTAATGACAGAATGAGTAAAGTTGGTTGTTGGCAACAAAGAAGTTAGTTGCGTTTGTGATGCATGGGTAGAAGTTATGATAGCTGCAAAAGTGGTATGTGTTTGCAATGGAGTGATTGTGGTGATCTCATTATGTATTTTAACTGTACCTTGGGCATTATTTTTATTATTTGTATGCAACATTCTAGTAGTTAATGCTGTAGATGGTTGGCTCAATTGATTATGTGTTTTTGAATTAAAGTTATTTACAAAGTCTGTTGTTTTTCTTACGATCGAATATTCTTCAGTAACATTTAATGTTGGCACTGAGCTTACAATTGATTTAGGGGGAGCTTTTTTATTACTAATTGTACTAACTTCATTATTTACTGGAAGAGTTAATTTAGTAATGAACTGAGAAGCCGCTGAAAATGGAAGTGAGGTGTAAAACCTGTTTGTTGAGGCAAACAACTTTTCAGAGTTACTTGTCTGAGGTTTGGGTATCATGTGCAATTTGTCAGTAGACAGCCATGAATGAGAATGTGTTGACAAAGTTGTAGAAAATGTATCCAGATTAGATGTTTGAGTGTTAGTAGCTGTGAAATCTTTAGATGTAGAATAGGACTGCTTTTGATAACCTGAAGTGAAATTAGTATTCCCAAATGTGAAATTTTCCAGAAAACTTTGAGATGCATATATTTTTCGTTTTGATTGTAATAATGGCATTTCTGTGATCTGTGACAAGGTACTTTGGTTTTGAAAAGAAGGTGAATATGATGTTTCTATGGAAGATAACGGTATGTTAAATTCCGAGAAACTTTTAGACTTCATTTTAGTGAAAGGTACAATTGAAACTTGCCGAGCAGATGTTACAGTTATATTAATGGGTGCTACTGAAGAACTGGAAGGTTTGTTCTTTACATAACTTGTTGATTGTTTCCAGACAGGAATCTTTGAATATGTTCTTTCTAAAGCTGTGTGACTTGCAGTACCTTTTGTGGTTAGGAATATCTGGGTTGTCTTCTTTCCTGAAGACGCACTGCCATCAGTAGTGGACTGCCAATCTCTATTGCCCCAGTGAGGAACTAAAGCTTTATTTAACATATCTAACTTGCTTTCTGAAGTGGCATCAGTAAGGCCCATGGGAAATGTTGCTGGGGTTCTCAAATGATTGTCTGATGAAATAACTGAGACCAAATCATACACGTCTGAAGTTGTCACAGCAGTTTTGTAAGTTGTGTCAGCCATATGTGAATGTTCATTAGCAGAATTATTTAAAAGTGGCTGAGATAAATGTTTTGAATGTGAGCCTAAAGTTGTGAATACTACTGAATTTTTCTCTTCTTTTGTTAAACTAAGATTTGGGTTTTGTTCTTTAGATTCTATTGGCTTTAGCTTCATAGAATCATTAACTGAAGTTATAGATGTGACAGTAGAACGAGGTTTCAGAAGCTCTCTAAAAGAAGTTGGTAAAGAAACTGGAAAAGTTGTAAAGGTTGTTCTTTCTTGTGAAAAAACATTTGGAAGCATTTCTTGCCAAGTGCTTGTCTGCTGACTGGAATTGTTAAAGGAAACTTTGTGGACGGTGTCTCCCAAAACCAGTATGGAGGGATATTATTTGCACCAAGAACTGTGAACACTGTAGAATCCTTTGTGAAAGACTGTTGTTGCAATAATTTCTCCACAGAAAAATTAGGAGGCCATATAGTAGCTTCATAATTTCTATCAGGAGTATCTTTTTTAAAAACCCAGGTTAATTCTGTGATGGGAGAATTTGTTAAGTTAGTCTCTAAAACAAAGTTAGGATTTGAGGTTGAAACAGTAGAATGAGCTGCAATGTAGGATGGCCAATTAGTCCTCATAATTAAGGAAGGAATCTCATCTGTTGAATAGGAGGTGGGAATAGTTGCCAATGTTGGTATTTGAACTATTGCATTATCTTTTATTGTTTCTGAATTAACTACAGTTTGCACTGTTGAGGAAGACGTATTAGTCAAATGAGAAAGCCTTTGACTTTCAGGAGATATTAATGCTCTTTCTCCTGTAGATTTTGATATTATCATAGAGGACAGACCAGTAATGGTTTCTGATAATGAAGACAGAGCACCTGAGGTATGTAGAGCTGATGCAAAAATCCATGGAATTGTTTTCCTGCTTTTAAGAATTGGGTATGATGTGGTTACAAACATGCTGCTTTTTTTCAGAGATGATGTGATATCCATTGCTTTACTTGTGAATGGTGGGGCAAAAGATGCTTTATGAATTAATTCAGAAAAAGAATTATTTTTTCTAAAACTCAGTGCAGCTTTCTGAGTAGGTAGTACATCAAAAACCTCACTGGGTATTAATGCACGGAAAGCAAATGGATGCCATTTCCTATCTCTTGGATATATATATCTCTTGGCTTTTTCTATGGGATGCTTATTAATCAATTCAAAATTATAACTAGAGGAGGAGGTAGCGACCCAAGATTCATTGCCAACCTTTCTGGATAACACATATTTTGTTGTGCTCAGTGAATTACCTGATTTTTTATTTGAGTTAGATTTAGCTGTGTTTGTGCTGAGTAAATGTTTCACATTTATGGACGAGGGCATTTTGGTAGATGACACAGACGACTTGGAAACAACAATGATAGGTGTATCCTTTATCAAAGACAAAGGGGATGATAATGGAAAGTTTGGAAATATGTTTGATCTTAATTTGATTTCACTTGAAATGGAAGATGTTGTACATGGAATTATCTGAAATGACAAAGTAGTAGCTGGATGTGTCACTGATGATGATGTAGACAATGCAGGGGGCACACTAATTTGAGGCAAACCTGATACAATAGTCATTTCATCAGCTTCCTGAGGCTTCGTTGGTGATTCAGTTGATACCTCAGAAGGTTCCTGCGATGCACTGTTGCCACTGCCTTGATAGAGAGTTGGTAAAAGCCTAGTTTGGTCCATAGTTCTGGTTCGAGTTCCTGCTAATGTACTTTTTATTATCTGAAGCAAATTAGCATTCTCCAAGGCTTGCCTCATTGAAATATCACCCACTGAGGAAGACTCAAGTTCTTTAGAAGGCCATGTTGGTGATAATACAGCTCTCCAGTTAGTAAAAGGTTCTGAAGAGGGAGCAACATTTATCCGTTGTTGCTCAGCACCTGAAAGATAATACATTTGTAATGAAAACCTATCAAACTTCTATTAAAACAGAACACATTCATTTGAATTTCTTTAGAACGGGATTGCACCCATCTCCAGCTCTCTTTCAGATAGAACAGTTAATTTGAGATCACATGGGAGCACAGACTGGTCAAGGATGGATTATACTGGCATAAAAATCCAGTTTCCTGGATTCATCAGCATCTAGTCATGTCACAAATAGAACATAGTTGTGTTCTGACCCAGCCTTAGCAAGTACATAGTGATAAGACATTTACTCATGAGTAAAACAAGCCCATTTTTATAACAGGGCAGTAACAGTCTTTTATTTACATAGATAAACAAAAAATCAAACATAATTAGTCCCAACACACCTAAGTTTAGCCAAGAAATCCAAATTGCTTGCTGTATACTAGAAACGAATGGATGTCTGTGACAACCACCCAGACTCCCAACCCCCCCTTATTTATTTCCCAGCCAGGGAAGGGCTGCCTGTCGTCTGTGTCTGCCTCTTCCTGAATGCCAGCTTATTGTTTTCTTTTGCTCTCCTCTCTTTTCCTCTCTGGGCATAAGTGCATCTAGGATGGGCCCCATATGTTACTCCCCCTCACTCAGCTTAGGCCCCGAAGACAGATGTTTCTCCACCTGGGGGAGGACAGAAGGCCTCGGCTCTGCCTCTGTCTCTGATGCTGTTTTCTTATCAGAGCCTTCCAAAGGCTCCAAAGCTGGCCCAGGCTCTCCCTCCACCTCCTCCTCGTCTGACTCTGCAGCTAGCTGGCAGCTGACGGGCCACAACAAGTTGGAAACAAGAGGCTCAAAGAATATCCGCAAGAGGTAGATAAAATGATATGGTAAATAGTCCTATTCCTCAGGGAAAACAGATTCTCCTCATAGATTAGAGAAAGTTCCTGGGATAAATAATAATAATAAAGTTCTGGGCAACAGTTTCATTGATACTGGTAAATGTACAAAAAGGTAAAATGTATGATAGCGAGGATAAATTACAGGTGAATATAAGTGCAGTTAACATGCCTAAAAGGCCTATGACTGCCAACCCTGTTATCAGTTACATAAACTACAAAGACTTGACCAGGCTGCACTTGAAAAATTCCCAATGTTGTTATCAACTACAGTATGCCAACATATTAAGAAAGTTGGAATCAGAAGCCAACAAATGAAAGAAATGCTGACAAGTATATATTGGTGACTTGGCAATCAATGCTGCATAGGAATATTGTCAGCCTTGGCTGGGTTCCTTCACAGAGCAGCTGTAGGTGTTACCTTGCCAGCAGTAATTATGTATATAATTACATCCAGGAAAAGAAAGCAAGAAAATATAGGAAACAAAATGAGAGAAAGGAAAATAAAGGTTAAAATGTTCCAATAATTCTTTGTATATGTAGATATGTAAGGGCATGTATATACATATGTACATAGAAAGATACATGCATACTCACACGAACACAAAAATGCAAAACTGGGGCAGTCATTTTCAATTACAATAAGTAAATTGTACTTTACCGTATATCAGCAATGGTTAGACAAAATTGTACTCATACCTGCACAAATCATTTTTTAATACGAAAATCAACAAAGCTAATCATAATATAGTTGATATGACGTTAATTCAATTTTTCAGAAATATTTAAAAACTGTGATATATATGTGTGTGTGTGTGTGTGTGTGTGTGTGTGTGTGTGTGTGTGTGTGTGTGTGGTGTTGGTTTCCTATTAAATATCATCCAATACAGCTACCACCTTATCTCAGGTGTTATGTTACATCATCAATGCGGTATATTACCTACACCATAGTATTTCTGCAACAAGGAAGAAAATAAAAGGGGATGTAGCAGGAAGCGGCATGGCCCAAGTACAAAATATTGAAACAAACTGGGAATTTTTTTAACAAAATTGAAGTACAGAAATAAGTGGAGAAATACAGAATAGACAGTAATGCAAAATGTTGCCAATGTAATCAAAACTTTGCATGGAAAGTACACGTTTCAATAGATGACTCAAGTGAATTAATAGAAACCATATTTCTTGTTCAACAGATAGTTTAAAAGATAGCTAACTAGATTAGCGAAGATAATGGAATTTGCAGAAATATTAAATTAATTTCTTTGCTTAGATAAAAAAAATATATATTTATAACTACCTGAATACCCATGCTCCGCTACGAAACTATGAAATCAGGCTTAATAAATCGACACTTACAGCTTGAAAATTTGTAAAAAAAAAAAGGTCAAAATAGGATATAAATCTTCAAGGCCCGTCAAACGTCCAGGGTATGCCATACCTTTTCTAAACGATGGATAGGAGATGGGCAGAAGTTGGGCAAGACAAGTTCTTGAGCCCGATGAAAAACGGTGTTAACTTGGGAACGAAGGTGGGATCAAGTCGGAGGATGACCTTGTCCAGGTGAAAAACACAGAAGTCTTGACGAATGGAAAGGGCTGCCAGTTCAGAAATGCATCGGGCAGACATGATTGCATCAAGAAATGCCATTTTGAAGAAAAGAAACTTAAGAGTGAGGTCACGGAGAGGTTCAAAGGGAGCCCTGGTCAGTGCGGTTAACACCTTGTTGAGGTGTTTCCAAGTAGGAAAACGGTGGATAACTGGTGGGCATAGGTTAGTGGCCCCTCTGAGAAATTTACGGATTAAGGGATCCCTGGTGACGGACGTCAACGAATCACATGCCAATATTGAGGATATAGCAGCAGTCTGCCGTCTCAGGGTGGAAGGGGAAAGACCTGCATCAAACCCCTTCTGCAAAAAACCAATAATGTGAGCGACAGAAGCCGATGTGGGAACTAGGTTCCGTTTCCTGCACCAGATAGAAAAGGTGCGCCATGTGGCCTCGTAAATGCAATTAGTCGAGGTGTGCTGAGCGGCCTGGATGGTCCGGATGGCCCTAGGTGGAATATTGGCCCTGGCTAGGAGACCGTCAGTCTCCAGACGGTCAATTGTAACCACTGGGACTCTGGATGAACTAGAGTTCCTTGAAGGAAAGAGATCCTGTCGTTGGGAATTCGCCAAGGATGTGCCGCTGAGAGGGAGACCAAATCCGCAAACCAAGGCCGTTGAGGCCAATGCAGGGCAAGAAGGATCAATTCCACTCTCTCCTCAAGTTTCTGGAGTACTTTGGCAATGAGAGGGAGGGGAGGGGAGGCGTACAGAAGGAGGCCTTGAGGCCAAGGGGCAAGTAGGGCATCCACCGCCTCCGCTCCGGGAGTCGGGAACCTGGAAAAAAGTGTGGTATCTGGTGATTGGCGTGAGAGGCAAAGAGGTCCACTCCTGGAAGGCCGAACTGGGAAGTAAGTTCCGTGAAGAGCCGAGGGTGAGGGCTGTATTCTGCTTGGTCCTCCAGGTGGTGACTGAGGGAATCAGCTTGAACATTCGACTTCCCTGAGATGTGAGATGCTCTCAAGGAGGCTAGATGTTTCTCCACCCAAAGACCCAGGCGAAGGGCCTCCTGCAAGAGGGCCCTCGAGCGAGTGCTTCCCTGCCTGTTGACATGAGATTTGGCAGAAACATTGTCTGTCAGCATGAGCACATGCTGACCGCTGATTAGGTGGTGGAACTGAAGCAAAGCTAAATAAATTGCCCGTAGTTCTAGCCAGTTGATGTTGACTAGCCTTTCCTGCTTCGACCAGAGGCCCTGGGCCATATGGGAATCCAAATGTGCCCCCCAACCCAAGAGGCTGGCATCTGTGGTGAGAACTAAGCAGTGAAGTTCTCGGAACCGACTGCCTTTGGAGATTGCAGGTGAGGTCCACCACCTCAGGGAATCTAGGACCTCAGTGGGGAGAGTAACCCTCGCTAGGGAGGTGCTCTTTCAGGCTCTTTGGAAGGGAAGAAGGAACCACTGCAACTGTCTGCCAAATGAAAACACCATTTTGCCCAAAAGGTGGGAGAGAGTTAGTAGAGGGATCGAATGGTCCCTGAAGAAACGGAGGGCCAGGTCAGCTAGACTGGTTTGGCAGTCTAGGGACAGTGAAACTTCAGATGTGGTGTTATCTATTAGAGCCCCCAAGTGCTGAATACAGGTGGAAGGAGTAAAAAAACTCTTGGGCCAGTTTATGAGGAACCCTTGAGCCTGCAGCTCCTGAAGAGTGGTGCGGATATCCTGATGAGCTAGGGATTCAGATTTAGAAAGGATGAGAATATCATTCAAATAAAAAAGGATTCTAATGGGCAAGGCTCGAATATGGGCAATGATGGCCGCCATAAGTTTAGTAAACACCCTGGGAGCCGAGGAGAGCCCAAACGGCAGGGCTTTGTACTGATAATGGTGTCCCGCATAATAAATCCAGAGAAATTTACGGTGGACGGGAAGGATGGGGACATGGAGATAGGCCTCTGTTAGGTCAACTGACGAAAGAAAAAAGAAGAAGAAGACCCAAAATTAATTAAAAATTACAGACCGATATCCCTCCTGAATACGGACTACAAAATCTATATGGGTATTTTAGCAGGAAGGCTAAAAATAATTTTGAATAAATTAATACACAGTGACCAAAATGGATTCCTCCCTGGGAGGCAAATCAGGAATAATACAAGGATGATAATAGACATATTGGAATACTATGAGGAACACCCGAACAAAGAAATGGCATTGGTCTTTGTCGACGCCCAAAAGGCATTTGACAATCTTAATTGGCAATTTATGAAACAACAAATTATCCAAATGGAATTCGGATCAAATTTTGTCAATACGATATCCACAATCTATCAAAAACAAAAGGCTAATATATTACTGAATGGAGAACTAACTAAGGCTTTTCAAATTAGAAAAGGGGTCCGACAAGGGTGCCCTCTATCCCCACTTCTATTTATCTTAGCACTAGAAGTATTCTTGAGAAAGATTAGGAACAATAATGAAATAAAGGGTCTGACAATCAGAAAAGAGATATATAAGACACAGGCATTTGCAGATGATGTGGTATTAATCATGGAAGAACCATTAGAATCAGGCACTAAAATTCTGGAAGAATTGG